CTAACTCTAAATTGCTGTTTCATTATTGTTTGTCATCACTTTTTATTTTATTAAAAATGTCAGATCCAAATTGCTGTTTCATCGTATATGTGTCAGCTTTTGGTTAAGATATTTTATACAACGACGTCAGATTCAAATTGCTGTCTCATCGTTTGTCAGCTATATTGCATGACTAGGCCGATATTTTGCTAGTTCCAAGAATCATTAATAATTCATGAAGAAAACACAAAAGAAATCATGAGCGTGAAGGTGTTTGTACTCTGATACAGAAATCATGCTGATTTACATAAACTTTAAGTTCAATTTTCTCACCAAATATTACTCATTTATTTTAAATTGTTGAAGAATATACGAATGTTCTCAACACGTTGTTTCACAAGCCGTTTACAACATTCGTGTCCGTGTTGTATCCGATAATTACAAGAGACCTTACGATTTTAGGACGGCAACGCGACGACGACGGGCAAAACAAACTTCAAATAAATGGTAGTAAAGATAATTCGTCGTACATTATCAATCGTATGAAGTTAATACAGTCTTAGAAGTTGAAGACATGGGTTTTATGGTTGGGAAGAGTTCTGCTGAACCCAGTTTGAAGTTGCACTTGTTGCGGCTTGAAATGCAGCCGTTGTATCAAGACGTGAAAATCTGTGACTTGGCGTTGTAAACCAAGCGAAGGACAATGTCTAAATTATTCATATATTGTAATTATATTCCATTCTTTTCATAGAGAATAATACATGGGTGCGCGGAAATACCAGATTTATTTCGAGTGTTGAACATGATATCTCACGAGTGAGCGCAGCGAACGAGTGAGATATCATGTTCAACACGAGAAATAAATCTGGTATTTCCAAGCACCCATGTATTTTTCTGTTTATTATATAAACAAAATTCAGTGAAAAACAATAAAACGTCCGTGGCAATGCGTTTTATAACAAATGATATTTTCACACGTAAAAATATCGTATTTTTTACGTGTGTTTAAATACGATTTTTCTCAGTGGCCAAAAACTCTATATAACACTTATGTTTATATAATAAAATGATTTATTGTATTGGTAGCCGTCGCCGTCGCGTTGCCGTCCTAAAATCGTAAGCTCTCTACTATTTACAACATGAGCGGCCGTGTTGTACAAAACTTTATGGTTTGCGTTGACAAGCTCTCACCTAATAACAATACCAAACACTCCATATTCACAGACGACATCTTCCTCTAAGATCTCATCTTTGTGAACTTGCACAATATAATTCTTGAGAACGGGTGGTCGTATTTTCTCCATCAAAACATACTGAGTACGTGAATTATCCTCCTTTGATAATACATCACGTATTTCTTCGCCATATATATTGTTACCTAAAAATGGATTTAAGTATTAAGATTAATTCTATGATATGGGCTCGTGGCAAATGACATTTTTGAGTACTTGCATAGTTACAACTGCTTTGATAATGTAAGCATAGAAATGAAACCGAGGTGACTAAGCATTTAAATGATATATGTGAATGGCGGTAGCAATGGGCATAAAAACGCTTTAGATGGTTAGATCTATGAAAGCAACTCGTATCTATTCCCACAGCTATGGTTCGTCAAGTTTTAAATGTTCTGTGCATGTAATCTGTAGTTGAGAATTTTTGATCTTGTACCTCCGCCTTCCCGTTGTGGTTTGACAACAAAACGATCAGGATTTTCAATCGCCATCTTTGCATTCTTATCCCCTTCTTCCCCCTGGGTAAAGGTAAGACAAGTTTGTATGCATTATTTTTACTTGACTAACAACTTTTAAGATTGTAACTAAACTCGTGTACAATATTGGTAAAGTCGTCAGTGCAAACCATGGTGGTTTAACGTACGTTGTCCAGTGAGAAAAGTCCAGCAAAAGTCTTTCGTATTCTCGCTACCATCTCCGGATCATCCAGAAACCTACAAGTTTAAAATTCTTGTCAAAGTAGAGCACCCTATTTGGACTCAGACTATCACGTCGGTCCAGAGTTAAGAGTGCAAGTCACAAGTCATTTCTTGCAAGTCACAAGTCATTTTGTCTGTGACCAAGTCGCAAGTCATTTCGTCCAAGTCCAGTCAAGAAGTCGTCAATCTGATTAACAAAGTCAAGTCACAAAAATTATGATTCAAGTCGCATGACTCGAGTCTCCAACTCTGACCACATCAAGAAATGAGTTGTTGGTATCACTCGTGTTGTTAAGTTGTTACATGCAGAACTACCAATGTTGCTACATGAATGGGCAAAAAAGTCTATCCACCTTTCAACCACTCCTGGCTCTGCGAGTACTTGTTGGATCTTCTTCGTTCCCACCAGTTGATACGCGATTGTTGGACATTTTATTGCACGCGATCGTTCCAGTTTTAACCGCGCTGACCAATCCTATATAGAACAGATATGGTGGATTTCAGTTAACGAAACCAGGCATTAGATGGTGATCATCTCAAGTTAGCTCGCCAGGTGTAGCACTGTGGTGGTCAAGTCGAGAAATACTGACATTTATAGCAGGGGTGGAAAAAATAGGCGAGCACGCGCGAGCAATGCTCGCAGGAAATGTTAAACAGCTGCAGGAAATTTGTTTGAATGAAGATTTGTTGTTGAAAATTTGAAGGAAACCTTAACACCCATGTCCCACTATGGCCGCAACAACATATGGTTCATGACAGGTTGACAGACATTATTCCTTGAGTTTAAAACCATGGTCATGCAACTAGAACACTGTATGTTTATGCACATGCAGATTTAGCATAAACATACTCCGTTGGTCTGCAGGGAATTTTTGTCTCTATAGGTGTTCTCCCAGGAAGAACATTTTTTCCTGCCCTGATTTATAGAAGCAAGTACATCTCTCAAACTACATCTCCCAATTCTATATGAAAAGATCACTTCTTAATGTCTTCACGTTCATAGTTTAGTAAGAGTTGATTTACCTTTTCTGAATAGTAATCTTTTGGTGTATAACCTGCTCGGAAATACGCTACTGCAATCTCTTTACCGTCACTAAAATAAAATATTGTCGTGAATCAATTCTGCGGTGCCTTCGCCCTATAAAACGCTGAATAGTTGACTTACATGACAAGTTTTTTGTCGTCTTTTAATTCACCATTCTCCTCGATTTCTTGTAAAGTTCTTCTGATCACTTTCACAGCAGGATTGCTGTTAAAATAATGGTTGTGCTCTGAAATCTCGCGGTTTGCTAACAAGCATCATTCATTCTCACTAAAGCCTCAATGCAACACTTGCAAACAAAATACTACCGCTACAGTTAAAACTACCCTTCACAATGAAAACGAAAAACTGCGGGACTAAACTTTCTCACCTCTGTCGTATACTATACTCTAACACTCGCTGGTCAACACGGTTTTTTTCACCGCTTTGAACAACCATTAAAACAACAGCACTGAAACACAAAACAAGAGAATTAAGATTGCATTAAACATAAAAATTATAAAAGTTGTCCAATGTGAATTTCAAAACATCTATTTTGACTGTGTTTCACCTTTCATTTCCATACAAACTCCAAGCTGTGACTATTCCCTTGCCTAATCCTTGTGCTGCACCATTTGCAGGCAGCTAGGAAACATAAAATTAACAACCATCATGTAAGATGTAAGATGGAAACAATATTATGGATGCATACTCCGGTGTATTCTTGCACTAAATTAATGACAGCAAGAGTCAAACAAATTGGAGTGACTTCTTTGGATGCATCATTATGAGAAAAGCTGGTGCATGTCATTAAAAGAAGTAACTAAAAGAGATTAATTGTCACCTTTTCTGTTATTTTATCATCACTGTCAGCATAGTTCTCCTGGACATATCTACATTGAAAATACAGAGAGAGCACAATAACTTGAAAATTTGTTCTGTCAAGCAGTCACTTTTCATCTCTCTGTTTGCCAACCTTCCTGCAACTATTCTGAACAACCATCAGTTTGCAGACTTGTCTTTAAATGTATTATGTATATGCAGGGGTGCATTCAGCAAATTACTGTTTTTATGGTTCTGGTGTTAAAACAATATAACACATTTTCATGGTTTGTGATGCCATCTTGCCAAGTTTTTTTTTATTTAATGGACTATTCAAATTTTATATTATATCTTATTGGGTTCTTCTGAGCCTAATATGGCAAAATATTATAGTAGGTCGAGACTTCAATATTGGGCCAAAGGTCGAACCTAATATTAATTGAAGTCAAGACTTAATTTTTGAAAATTTGAAGTCTCTAGACCATTGGAAATGGCATTTTTAGAGTCTTTCCTACCCAATATTTTAGTATTGCCTAAAAATGAAGATACATATTGCTACTTACAATTTAATATGACTAGGAAAATTGAGAAAATTCCTTTTTTAATTTACAGCTTTCATAATCAGAGATCAATTTTATTTTCTTTACCTGTGCAACTCAGTTACATGGGACCCAATACCACCAAATGAACTTGAAATAGTATTAATTTCTATTTGCTTGATTTCATAGCCTTGTAAAAAATCTTTCTCACTTCCTGAGATTGGATTCATCATGTAATCTGACCGAAGTAGTCCCAATGATATTTTCTGAAATATTTGAAATTAAAGTATTATATTTGATCATTTCCTTAAAATTAATAAGCTGCAATGTGCCCATATGTTGTTGTTTACCGCGAGTAATCCCAGAGGGTTTTATTAAGGCCAATGAAAATTGATATCATGTTTCTCGTCCACAATTTTCAAAAATTTGGAGCGGGATTTTTTCATTTTTCATTATTTTTTGTATTTGAATTCTGCTTGTCAATAATTTCCTTGACCCAGTAAAAAACCCCATAAAAATCTGAAGTATTAAAAATTGGTGTATAATTCATTTTAATTTAATACGTCCTACACTACAGTCTACAGACTACAGTATATTTCTACACATACCAGGGCTGACATGAAAAATAGAGGCATTCTGGCGAGTAATATCTTTAGAAAGATACAATTTGAGTTGCGCTTGCGGAATGCAGCAATAAGACTTTGATCTGGAGATGAATTTGGTGTTTTTTAAGCCTATTTTTCAAAAATAATGAATAATGAAAAATTTTCGTGCGGCAGATAAATCCCATGCGGGCGGGGACGAGAAACATGATATCAATTTTCATTGGCCTAATATAGAGGAAAGTGTCCTTACATGATTTGAATATTAGTAGAGAGGAAAGTGTCCTAACATGTTCTGAAAAGGTGACGTACTGCATGGCTTACTCACCTGAGCAATTCCTTCCTTTCGAGTTGTATCGTAGATGTGAAAAAGTTTTTCGGTGAATGTGTCGGCTTCCATAGCACTAGAAACAAGCATTGTAAACTATTCAAAGCAAAGCAAAGCAATCATATAAGCAAGAAAGCCATAACACACTTTTGTTGCCAAGCCAAGTGGTAAGGATAAGGTGGTCACATTTTAGGGTGGTGAGGAGAAATGTTAAGGGGTGGGTCTGTGTCATCAAAACGGAAAGTGTTCCCTGAGCAAGAAGGGCAAAACTATTTTTTCTACATTGCTTTGCTGGTGATCAAAGGCTGAGTACGCTTTTCGCGCGCTTTTCTTAACTCTCGCAACATTCCCGCGTGTTTGGATCAGGCCATCCAAACACGGAAACCATAAAGTAATTGTTTTATAAAATAACAACAACACGATATTCTTCCGTGTTTGGATGGCCTGATCCAAACACGGGTTTCGACCAATCAGAGCACACGTTATATACATGTTATTTTATAACGATATATGCCAGACGACATGGCAATTATAGTACTTGTCAATGTAACATTTGGCAAAACCTGAAATCAGCCACAAGTAAGCATTAAGGCTGATTTACATTGCACAACTTTTGCCTAAGACTGTCGCATGTAACCTGATTACAACTTGTGTTGTACTGTGTATAAGTCAAGCACTGTGTAAGTCAATGTTGTAGGTCGCAGGTGAGTTGTGTGCTTGATTTACACTGTACAACTCAAGTTGTAAGCAGGTTGCATGCGACAGTTTTAGGCAAAAGTTGTACAACGGCCTTCTAATACCTCTATTAAAACTACGAATTATTTATAGAAAATTTATCTCTCACCACACCCATTTTATTTCACATATTTTAATACATGTGATACATATTAAGTTACAAATACTCACCTCGCAAGAGAAGACTTCAAAAATTCATAATCTTTGCTAATTTTATCCACGAGTATATTAAAATCTTTTTGAACTTTAAAACCTTGTTCGAAAAGCGTCTTAGGGAAAGGAGACGCGAACAGTGTGAATGGGGCATGAGAAAATAAATTTGGGGAGGGGGCATCTTTTGGAATCATGAGAATACCATTACTGACTGCAAAGTCTCGAGCCTGTTCCACAAGCGATGCGAGTTTTTCTTTCGGAATATTCCTTCCTTGCTGTAAAGAATCCATCTTGAAACATCAAATTTAAGTCCTCTTGAGTTAATGCGCTTTAAATTTTATTTAAGACAGCATAAACTTGTTTATACCTAAAATAATATATGATGACATTGTACATATGACACCGCGTTGTCCACGAATATTCAAATGAGCTATTAAAAGCTGTCGCAGTAAACATGTAATGCAAGGACTAAATTATGGTATTTAAAGCGCTCAAATCAGTAGATATTATCCAGCAAAAATTATATATTTGTTTTTAAAAAGACGTAATTTCTGAGTTGTAGAAGTGTTGTATTAAAAGTTTCCAGTGGTAATTTCCCTGAGTAATCCTTCCAATCATGTGCGACCGTGCCTCTTATATTTTGTTATATCACCTCCCCCGTAATACTATCAATTTCAGACCTAAAATACTTGATAAAACGGGGGGTGCAAGCCCTCTTTGGCAAAAGTTGCCATCTTGCAATTACAAACAAATAAAAATGTAGCTGTTTTCTGCTTTATAAATTGTGTTTTTAAAACTCTACGATGGAGAAATTATTAACATCGGAGTGCGAAGATGGTATAAATCTTGACTATGTACGTTCTGTGTTTATTCAAATGAACGATTTAAGAAAAGAAGGGGCTTTTTGTGATGTTGTCATTGAGTGTGACGATGGACGGAGCTTTGAAGGCCACCGAATCGTTCTTGCGTCTGCTAGTCCATATTTTCGAGCAATGTTCTCACATAACATGCAAGAATCGCAGCAGAAACTTGTCAAAATACAACAAATTGAGAGTCGAGTTATGGAAGAACTCTTAAACTTTTCCTATACTGGAAAGGCGAAGCTTGTTGCAAAGGAGCATGATTTTATAGAGAGTTTATTGCTTGCATCTAACATGCTGCAATTTCAGCAAGTCGAGGACGCATGTGTGAAGTTCATTAGAGAACATGTGACTGTAAAGAGTTTGTATAAGTTTTGGCAGCTAGCGCAGGAGCATCCTCAGATTGCATTAAATAACGTCATTAATGATTTTATTGTCAAACATTTTGCAAAAGTCGTTCAAACGCCAGGTAATTGTGAATCGCAGGTTTAGTACACTGATTAGTCACCCTCTACCTTGTCTAATCCAAAAATTTGCATTGCCATTCTGGCACACACATACCCCCTCCCCTGGAACATGTTACATCATACTCCCCCACCCCCCTTTGCCAATTAAATGCTAATGTACCCTACTGTATCATTTTACACATTCAAATACAAACTTAATGCTAAAACAACCCATTATTTTTTGTAGCATTTCTTCAGTTCAATGCGAGTGAACTGAAAGCATTTCTTGCTGATGACAATCTGAATGTTAATTCAGAAACTCAAGCATTTGAAGCGCTCCTAAAATGGATCAGATGCAATAAAATGGAAAGATTACAGAATGTCAAGTCACTTATTTCTCAGATCAGATTACCTCTGCTACCAAAACATTATCTCACAGAGAATGTCATGAATGAGGCAGTCCTAAAATTTGAAGGTGATGTCGTGTTATTTATAAAGAAAACTTGCTTAGCTTGCAATATCCCTTGCAATTGTGGAATAGCACTCTATCCCACTGTGAACTGTGGGCCATTGCAAGCAATATCACACACATTTGGGTTCCATGTGATCTTGATACGCGGAAAAGTACTGGCACTAGTTGTCAAATAGAAATCCATTTTATGATTAAAACAACTGAATATTTCCTGTAATATACTTTATTTTGATTCCATATTTTTGTCAGAGCTATAGTTCTCATAAGCAAACATATTTACAAAATTTCAACTAGTTTCATAAAGAATAACGAAAGATATAATTGACTGAGTACATCAAAATGGATTTCTATTCGGACAACCCTTTCTGAACGCTGATTGGCTAAAATACGAACACGAGATCACCTGGTTAACTAACTATATCTGACTGATTCAGATTTATTTATTTACTCAATTTACTTATTGAACTTTGCCAACACAAACGTACCGTACATACAGACATGACATTACAACAGCAGAACATGCATGCACATTGAATCAAACAACAAATGGTGGGGTCACCACAGCAGTATAAACCAACTACAGTACTGTGGGCCCTTGTTAACAAATATAACAAACTATAAAATTCTATGTAAAGGCCACATTACACAAGGCAATATCTGCTGCAACCAACAGATAAAAATCTTAAAGGATGAAGTGTTTCACCATTAAACTGTTTCTGTATCTTGACTCTTTTTCATACCATATATTTTAGATTGTACTCAACTTTTCAAAGATGCATGTGAATACCAGAACTACCCTGAGAGACGATGTTTACTCCGTAGCAAGGATAACACCCCACGTAAGAACACACAACGTTATATTTATGTTATTGGTGGTTACGACAGAGTCGAGGAACGCTTTCTTAACACAGTGGATTGTTTCGATACAATTGCTGAGACGTGGCTGAATGTTGCTCCCATGACAACTGCTCGTATACGACATGGTGTAACAGTTCTTGATGGGATGATATATGCAGTAGGTGGGCAATGTGATGACGATGTCTCTGTGAGGACGGTCGAGAGATATGACCCTGTCGCTAACAAATGGTATGATGTCACACCTATGAATGAGTGTAAAGGTAGGTCAATTGAACTGGAATCAAATTTTTAACAACAAAGGCTTGTCAACTTACATGTATTGGCATGTCATTGTTCTGTTTTACACTATGTGTGAGCAAACTTGGGCAAAGAAGCTCATCTGAGAATTTGTCTGTGAATAAATGCAGTAAACAGGTGGATGAACTGTCAAGATAACTAAAGAAGAAACTTGTATGTGCAGTGAATCTTGACAGATTATTCATCTAAACATGACATTAGACAAACTATAAATGAAAATATATCATGATTTGTTCCCAGAACCATTTCCAGCATAGATTGTAATATTCTAGATAGTTTGTCTGAATAGTTTGTTTGGCAAAATTAAGCAGCATCAACTTAGCCATGTAGCTCAGACATTAGTGCATATAAATGTTTTGGAAGTGCAAAGGTTGCTGGTTCAATTCCCAGCTGTGGCCGCACATACTCATAAGCAGATCAAAACACCGGTGCATTTACTTGTATATATGCTGTCGAGGACCGTTGAAACCAGAGTGAACTGAGATAAAATTTGGCTGGCTTTTGCTGATAACTGAAGAATGTCGGCTTAGCAAAATGGGATTTAATATATTGGCAATTTGATATTGACACTTGCAGATATTGCCCGGAGAGCAAAGCGGTTATTTTCTTTGCTTATCATTTCCGTTTAGGTTACATAGTTTTCGATATGGATGTTGCCTCTTATTAATCCTAATTTATTTCAGGTCAGTTGGCAGTTGCAGTATGTGATGGTAAGATCTACTGTATTGGTGGTACAGATGACTTACTCAAGGTCAGCCTTTGTAGTGTTGAATGTTATGACCCCGTCACTAACATGTGGACATCTCTTACCCCCATGCCTACAGCCAGAGGTGCCCTCGGTGCAGCCACTTTGAATGGTAAGATATATGCGGTGGGAGGTGGGGACTTTCATGTTGCCTTGGATACTGTTGAAGTGTACGACCCTAAACTTGACTGCTGGTCAACAATGCCCTCCATGAACTATGCGCGTGGGTGTCTCGGATTAACGTGTGTGAACAACACTCTGTATGTGTTTGGTGGGGCACATATGCACAACGGCATGATGACGTACCTGGAGGAGAGCATTGAATGTTTTGATCCAAAGTTGAACCGATGGTTAGTAATCTCGGGTACAGAGGTTTCTTGTTGGGGCGTGGGGATATGTAGTGTCGCTTCGGTGGACGATGCGGACCATCCCGAGGATCAGAGTGAACTCTTCATAGTTGGAGGAATTTATGAGTTCACTGAAGGAGACAAGATGTTGCGAGTCACGGTTACCGAGAGACAGATTTTCTGTAAACCGTTTCACCATGCCAAGGATTTGAGTTGCCGAGTACATACAGGGGCAGTCGCCTTGCATTTAGCCCCTGGCTCATGAATGTGGAACTTTACAGTGGGTATTGCGCATCTTTGCAAGTAACCCTGTCCTAGAGACTGATATTTTGTACATTGTTTCATCATGCCAATGACTTAAGTTGTAGAGTACATACATGGGTGTTGCCTGACATTTAGCCCCTGGTTCATGACTGCTGTCACAGAGGAGATACATATGTATCTACTATATGCTGCTGTGCTCTTGAACTTGCATGAGTCACTGTGTGTTTTGTAAGCTATTCATCATGCGAAGGACTAAAGTTGTGGCTGTGTATTTGCCCCTGGTTCAGGAGCAGTGTGATGAATTCCGTACACTTTTGCGTGAATATTTTGTGTGTCGTGGCCTAGTAAGCATGTATTTAGCCTCGAAGGCGTATTTTACGTTGTCGGAACTGAGGATTCACAATAGACAGCGCAGAGAATTGTCACACTTGATGTTTTATATAATTATCTATTATTTCTCTGAGGAAAACGAACGGAAACGAAGTACACAAGACAATGAGATAGTGTCGGTTTAGATTTGACTTCTTGCCGCTGCCATTAACCAATCAATTGCGTTTAATTTACTCAATTGACCAATCAGATGCGTGCTAAGCCGGTGAGAGGTAGCGGTAGTGGAAGTGAAATCTGAATCTGTCTAGCGTTCATATACTTCATCGGTCAAATTTAAGATGATGCAGGCAAGCTGAAAAGTTTGTTTCCCCCTACGCCGGTCAAACAAAATGTTCAACTTGCCTGGTGTGGGCACGCTCAGAATACATCATCTTAAATATAACACATGAAGATTGAAGAATGCACAAGATCATATCTTAATTTAAACATTAACAAAAACAACCTGTCAGTGTTTATAAATTGTACATAATAAATACTCGACTTGATGTAATTCTTGATATACGTTAATACATTCATATTTACGAATAGTATACGCTGAAATGAAGTGAATTTTGTAAAGAAAAAATCGTGCATATAAAACTATTAATTCATTTTTAAACTTTCGTGACTTTTTTTGCGAGAGGAAATCATGGCTATTGTACGTGAATGCTACGTTATATTAGTCTATAATTTACTGGAGTTTTGCTGAAGGCAAAGTCAAAGAAGTTTTTTTTTAAAGTTATTGGTGGCGTTGATGTCTTATGAATTTCAAGTTTGTAACTTTTGTGTCGTTTCTCGTCATTACTGTAAATTCATTGTGGCTTTTCTCCTGTCCGCGCGGAAATCACAAAGGTGTTCCTGGGGACGATTGTTCAGTGTTCTGTCAATGTAAGTCTCCGGCTGTTTGCGAAGCTTTCCGACAACGTTGCGTTGCACTTTCGGAATATAAAGAGTCCTGCCATTGGACAAAGCCTTGTAGAAAAGGTCTAACCTGCCAGCCTGGAGTTCAGAGATGTTTCAACTCGCCCAGGAAACTGGATGAGCCGTGTTCGTTGGGTTTCCCATGTGGTTCGGGCCTGAGTTGTGCGCCCGGTTTTCAGGTGTGTTATAACCACCCGCGACTTGCAGGTCAACCATGTAGTATTGGTTACGCATGCGCACATAGCTTGTCATGTCAACCAGGAGTTCAAAAGTGTTATCATGAACCTCGTTTGGAAGGCGAGCCGTGTTCGATGGGTATCGGATGTGCCCGGTCGCTCTCGTGTTCACTTTGTGGGAGTCTGCCGGCCACCTGCCAGATGGCACAACTACCTGCTTTCAGTAAACAGGTAAGGGGAAAATCTGCACAGGCCACCCAAGAAATACCATCTGAATAAACCGCAGGTGAAAGCATGGCCTATGGTCTTTACACACTGTAAACTTCAAGGAGTGGAACCAACTGCAAAAGTGTTATTAACAGAATAATATTTTTGGAGTTAACTCCATGCGATTGTCTTTTCATTGTTTTGAAATCCCACTGTTCTCCATGCCATCCAGTCACGTTCCAGTGATCAGAATGTTCCATTGTCTTTTCATTGTTTTGAAAAACCCACTGTTCTCCATGCCATCCAGTCATGATCCAGTGATCAGAATGTTCCATTGTCTTTTCATTGTTTTGAAAATCCCACTGTTCTCCATGTCATCCAGTCACGTTTCAGTGATCAGAATGTTCCATTGTCTTTTCATTGTTTTGAAAATGCCACTGTTCTCCATGCCATCCAGTCACGTTCCAGTGATCAGAATGTTCCATTGTATTTTCATTGTTTTGAAATCTCACTGTTCTCCATGCCATCCAGTCACGTTCCAGTGATCAGAATGTTCCATTGTATTTTCATTGTTTTGAAAAACCCACTGTTCTCCATGCCATCCAGTCATGATCCAGTGATCAGAATGTTCCATTGTCTTTTCATTGTTTTGAAAATCCCACTGTTCTCCATGCCATCCAGTCATGACCCAGTGATCAGAATGTTCCATTGTCGTTTCATTGTTTTGAAAATCCAACTGTTCTCCATGTCATCCAGTTACTCATTGTTTCAACACATGCAAAGGCCGTAATGAAGTTTTTTATTCCTATTCCAGGATCTACAGAAGCCGTACAATAAAGTTGCTTTCTTAGTCACTCACAATTCATATAGCTATGGAATCGATTTTGGGATCTGGGCTCATAATCAGAGGTTCAGTGTTGCCAGGCAACTGAACGATGGCGTCAGAGGCCTTATGTTGGATCTTTACGTAGGTACGTGTTGTAACTGACTGTGCATAATGGTGACTTCCACTAAGACCAGGACGATTTCGACCATAGTATTATTTATAACAGATGCTTACATGAGACATTGAGACCGGGACAAAAAATTCCTCAGACCTGCATGAAGTCATCGCGCTCGCTGGACCGATCCCGCTCCGAATTCAATATTCATCCCGGTCTAGATGTAAAAAAGAAATACATTTCGGATCGGTTGTGCTCTTGCATGCTTCGGAACAATGCATGCTCACAAAGCACTGGTAAAAAGAAAATGGAGGGCAAGGAGAATAAATTGAAAGATTTGTGATTTTCGTACCTGTCTCGTGTGAACATACTGAAAATTGCGATCTCGCCCCTGGTTTGACTTGATCCTGGTCTCATGTGAAGACCAAGAGTATGCCCGTTTGCAGGTTAGGTCATGCACTAGATTGCAGTATAGATGGGTGTCAACCTGAGGTTGTCAAAGTGAGAAAATAGTTCATTTTTCATTTTCAGGCTGGAACGACGCTGATGTTCGTTTATGTCATGGTAGCTGTATCTGGAGTGGTTCCACTGATCTATTGTTCACGTTGATAGAAATACGTGAATTTCTGGAGCGAAACACTCACGAAGTCGTCACGATCATATTCGAAGATTACCTTGAGAACCCACGAATACTGGCGAAGGTGTTCGACGAAGCTGATATCTCAAAGTTCGTGTTGACGTCGGATTATTGGGGAGAAGTCGAAGACTGGCCGACACTCTCCGAGATGATCTCGTTAGGTCGTCGGCTGGTCGTGTTTAATAATGTCGGGTTGACAGAATTTCCTTACAGTACAAGGAATATGTGGAATTTTATGATTGAAAGTCGTTATGGAAGTGTTAGCAAAAATCCTAATGTAAGTATAGGGCAATGTGTG